AGGAGCCCATCACGAGATGGGGCGAATACTGGTGTGAAGTGACAGTAAGTGCACGTGTCTTTGGAAAGGGGGCAGCTGCTTTTGTTTGAAGGTCACTTAGCTACAAACAGCTCCACCTTCCTAGTCCCTACCCTCCCTGTCAGCCTTCACATTGTGTTTGGAAGACGGCAAGGGCTGCTGGCTAGCGCCAGGGAAATGGGAATCGGGACACAAATTCTGATCTCAGCTCTGGCCACCGGCTCGCTGGTGTCTTTGGGCAAGTCACTTCCCTGTTCAGTGCCTCAGTTTCCCCCTCTGTGACATGGGGAAAATACTTGTCTGCCTCTTGGGTGGCGGGGTGGCTTTGTTGCCGACCGAGCCTGCTTTGAGATCCTCAGGCACGAAGTTACTGCTGCATCCCACATCTGCACCACCTGACACACTCCAGAGTGCTTTAGAAACTAGATACCCACGGAAACGCAACCCCCTCTGGGGGGGGCGGAGTACCAGCTGAGTAGACAGCCCCTCTGCAAGGCAGGGGGCAGGAGAACTTTGGCCAAGCCACAGCCAAACCCCTACTCTCGTGAGACGTGCCGGCATGCCCACAGTAGAGAGGAGGCAGGTTTTTAAGATCTCTCCCACCCACCCAGGAGGCGCTTTGTAAAACACAGGGTCCAAGGCAGAAGAGATTTTCGCCTGCTGCATTTCTATTCATCTTTTTTCCTTCCTGCCCACTTGGGGGAGGAGAGCCAGCTCTGAGACGTGCAGGACGAGTGCCGAATTGGTGTCTTTTACAGCTGTTCCAATTTGCATCGCCTCCTGCTTAATTTGCTATATTGAATTCCCGATGGTGTGTGCGAACGTGCTACATTTCCATGTTGGTTACTGCAGCTCAGCAAGCTATGGGCCTGTAATGTACCAGTATCTTCTCTACATGATGTAACCCCAAAAGAATAGGGAACAGAATGGCCCAACGCTGAGAGGGAGAGAGAGACAAGGGAGAAAGGAGCTGATGTCGCAAGCCGAGATTTGAAATGGAACTGGGGGGATACAGGAGATTTCAGAGGGGAGCGGCAGAGGTGAAGGCCCTGGTACCAACCGTGCAGGAACAGAAGACCTGGGGGGCGAGGGGGGAGTCAGAGGCACAGTTTGTCAGGTCAGCTGTAGCAAGCCCACGAAGGGTTTTAAAGGTGAGATCACTTGTTCAGCTAGATTTGAAGCAACTCTAAACGTCTTCCCCTCTCCGCGAGGCATTGGTGAACCTATGTCTGGGCCTGCCTCGCGTGCTCTCCGACCTCAGGCCTAGGGAGTGTTTCCTGCCTGAGAAACCCTTAGCCAGCGACCAACAGAAACAACCTGCTATGGAGGGCTCCGCAGGGGCCCAGCCACTTTGCATTCAGTTAACCTGGAAGCACGGGGCCGGCTCATTCTCTGGGGCCCTAACCTGTGTCTCCGTCCTGGGCTTATGTGTTGCAGGTGAATGGCTTGGACACCGTCCGGGTGCCGATGTCTGTGGTGAACTTCATGAGGCCAAAGACCAAGCGCTACAAATACTGGCTGGCCCAGCAGGCGGCAAAGGCGGCATCGGAGGAGTAAAGGCCCCTCCGCTCTGTCCTGGGGAGTTCTCCTCGGAGGGTTGGACTGTTGGGGGAATCCCCCTGCTGTGGAACCTGGACCCTTCACCCTACCAGCTGAGAAGGGCAGCCAGGCCCCAGCTGGCCCCTCTCGGCTGGGAGCAGTTAGCAAACTTCATTTAAACTCTGTCGGTGTTTGGGGGAGATTCTTGTTGCAACCACAAAGGGACCCTCCATCCCTCCCAGGTGGGGCTCTCTGCACAGGACCAGGAAAGCACCCAACGTGCTGTACGTTGCTGCCGGTCAAAGCAGGACACCAGAACGCTCACAGCTACTAATAAAAGGCTCCTGTGTCCAAGCCACTGGCAGTGTGAATCGGCCGTGTCTTGCTGCTGGCGGGTTCGGCCAGACAACACCTCGGAATTGGGGCAGCTGGAGGCCAAATGCCCTATGGGGAGCGGAGGGGAGAGCACGGGGAGAAGCAGCCACCAGTGACTCACCTGATCAGTAGAAAAGCACCAAATGGTCTGTTCCCAGATGTGCAGCCTGATGCCCGATAGTGCTGGTGCTGATTCCAGTCCAGCCGGATGGGGGGAGAGGAAATGGAAGATGGAGTGTCCCCTACAGGAAGTTACCTTATTGCAGGAACGAGACTCTCAGCTCCCTTTCGCCACCCTCCCTGCTGCAGGCATCCCAACAGAAGGAGGGAGGGACACACCCACACCCGGCACCCTTCCCCTCTGCCCCCTGCAGCTACTTCATGGGTGAATGGGGCTAATACCCCAGAGCCAAAGAACCACTGTGTTGCTCGTTGTCAGCTGCTCTCACAGTGGCAGAGCAGGGCTTAAATGCAGCAGCTACAGTGCTGGAAGCAGGGAAACCAAAGATTCAGTCCTGCCAACCCTTCCTTGGGGCGTAGCCCAGTCAGGGTCCTCTGTGCCAAAGCTCCTTTCTGCTAGTTGCCCTCAGGGCAGCGTGGGCAGAGACTTAAATGCCCTGCCTCTAGTGTGACTGGGGGACCCCAGCTGGTTTGGTCCCTGATCAAAGGGGCAGGGGAAAGGAATTTCCATGTGGGGACTGCTTCCTCTAGTGGCCCACACCCCCATTTTTCAGCTTCTGACACCATGTCTGCCAGGGTTGAGCCCGTTCCAGGGGCCAGTTGCAAACCCATCCAAAGCAACATGATCCCACCAGGGCATCCTCCCCTATTCTCTGTAGCCCCCTTGCTGGGCTAGTCTGAGCCCTCGTTGCTGGCTGGAGCCCACCAGAGCTACCTCCTGCCCCTATTCGAGGTTCCCTGCTCTTACTGAGGGGGTTAAATCCATCCCTGCGCCAGCTCTCTGCCTCTAGGAGAGGCTGGTCACATGCAGTTCCATCTCTGAGGGGGAGAGGCAGGTTCTAAAGCTGAGGGTGCTGGTCAAAAATCCTGTGAAGCCCGGGTTTAAAAGACCCAACAGCATGTGCAACGTCCTTGGGATGGACAGTCAGCCTGGGCCCTTCCCCGGGAGCCATGCTCCGGGGCGCTGGGAGGATGCAGTGTCCCAAGCAGGGCTCAGGCCCTATCTCCCCTATGAAATACTGGCCCAAAGAGCCACTCACTGCACAATGTGCTGCCCCTTCTGCAGCTAAGGGGGAGCCCGGCATTGGGAAAGACCCTTCTGACCTCCCAGTGCAGGCTGGGGCCTGTTGAGATCTGCCAAGTGCGCCGTCATCTCTGCGAGCAGACACAGGGAGGTGATCGCTGTGTCCTGCAGCTCAGGGTGCCCAGAGAGCTTGATTTGCAGAAACACCAGCCCCCGTTCTCTGGCAGTGCCCAGGCAGCTGCTTTCAGCCTGGCAGACCAAGGCCATGCTAGCCTCATGCACCCACCCTTAAGCAGCACGGAGGCCTCTGGCTAGAGAGTGCCAGTAGGAGCACGCTGGGGTTCTTGTCCCACTTCAGCAACCCGCTTCCCCTCTGCGTTTCACGTCTCTCGCAAGTAACACGGAATAACATTGAGCCCCTGCATGTCACCAGCTTTGGGGGTCAGACTCCGCCGGCCGGGTGGTGAGAAGCCCTGTGCTCTGCCTGGGTTGGGCCCCTTGACTTCAATCCACCTCTCCCTTTGTAGCTGTCTAGTACCTGGCACTGCCATCCAGAGCTTCTTCCCTAGCCACCGCCAGGCGATTATAACCCACCCGCTTCCATGATGCTTTGCAACGCAGGCCAGCAACCAATCAGAAAAGCCCGGCTCCTCCTTTAAATAGTTCACTGCAAGGCGGAAAAGTGAAAGAAGACACTTCCCTCTGCTGCTGCCGCCGTAGCAGCCTGCTCCAGCAGACTGTCTTTAAAAGGAGGCGCGAAGAAAGGGATAATTTAGAGGTGGAGGCTGGAGAACAGGTAGGATCACCCTCTCCCCGTAAGAGCTCTAAGAGCTCTCTAGCGCATCTTGCCGGAAGGATCCCAAAGCACTTAACAAACTGCTGTACAAACAGGATTGTTTGGCCAGTCATCAAAATGCAGCCACTTCTGGGGAGCACACAGCAGTTTCACAGCCCATAACCACATGTTTTGAGGACAGGAAGTGAAATACCCGTGGCTTGTATTTTCAAAAGTGAGACGAGATTTGGGAGGCTTCTTTTTTGGGGGGCTGCTCACCTCAAGCCATCTCAAAGGGGTCTTGTTTTCTGAGGGTGGGCGCATGGCCCTTTCTGAAAATCTGACTCCTTCAAGGTATCCCCTAAAATCACTAGGCCTTGGTGAAAACGTAGGCCGCTGTAGCCCAGGGAAAGCGCAGGTGGAATGTAAGGGGGGCAGAATGTCTTCACCCATGTTGGAATTTAGCCAGGACGTGCTGGAGATCTACTGGATCAATTGTTGAGGAGCCATTGAGGGAGGGGGACCAGGGATTTACTATGGGAGAGGGCAAGGATCTGGGGATTAGGAATCACCCCCGGTGAGGCATCTACTGCTGACGGCCGAGCAAGCAGAGAATAAGGGTCCTTTGAAGGATCTCCTGGCAATTGGGGAGGGGCTAATAATTAGGGAATCTGTTAGATGAGGGATTAGAGAATCTCTTTGGGGAGAGAATGGAGGAGGACTTGGGCATGTGGGTGCAGAAATCAGGGAGAGGTTAGCTGAAATGAGAACACAATGAATGGTATATAAATGGAGATGTCCAGCCCTGGCATCCCTCTGTCTTACCTGCCTTAGAGATACGTTCCTAAAGCTACCATAGCAGGCGAGCGTTGGCTAACACCCGGCACTGATCCATGCCCCTTAGAGGAGTCCTTGTGGCACCTTAGAGACTAACAAATTTATGTGGGCAAAAGCTTTCGTGGGCTAGAACCCACTTCATCGGATGCATGGAGTGGAAAATACAGGAGCAGGTATAAATACATGAAAAGATGTGAATTGCCTTACCAAGTGTGAAGTCAGTCTAACGAGACAATTCAATTGACAGCAGGATACCAAGGGAGGAAAAATGCCAGCCGGGGTCTCAGCCGGCTGCCAGCCTGGGGTTCCTTCACCCAGGCCGGCAGCAGGCGCTGAGTGAGACTGGCGGTGGGACCCTGGCTGGCAGGAGCCGGCGGTGGAAACCCCAGAGCGGTGGCGGGCTCAACCTGCCGCGGCATGCCATCAAAAATCGGCTCACATGCCACCTTTGGCACGTGTGCCGTAGGTTGCCGACCCCTGATCTAGGGGCTGATTTAGGTGAGAGGCTGATGAATCCACTAGTGGCCCATCGCAATCCTTTTTACACAGTAGCCAATCCTGTTTGTAAATCCCGAGGTGGCTGGCTCAGTCTCCCAG